GAATTGTGTATGACAAAAAAGATATATCATCATTGATTTGATAACATTCTATTTAAGGGTACCTTTCCACAAATGGTCCTTTTTTGATCTTCTTCCGTGTTGGTGTTAATTTAAAGGCTAAAAGTATAATTTGACATCAACATTATGTCTAGTGACGTGTTCTGATATTGGTTAAGCGGATAACACAAAAATAATGACTATGATTGTGCGCTAGAATTCTGACGAAAGATCACATCTGTAGACTATGATTGTCGTAAAAAGTGATTGTAATTCACAAACGACGCAAACGGATCAGCCTTTGAAATTGTGTATGACAAAAAAGATATATCATCATTGATGAAGAAGTCCGAAGTTACTCAAACCCCAAAGTATCATTTAGACATTTGTTAAGTTAAGTGCATCAAAGATAATCATATTTGACAGTCTTAAGGAACGGCAGGCGGATGATAAACAAAAACAAATTTGGTTACAATTCCGGTGTGGGCAGAAAGTGCACAACTGGCCTCTCAATATCTGGTCCTCAAATATATCTGCATGGGATTGGGTCGGGCTAAAAGCCCATATCCCATCAATTATCAAAGCATAGATTAAAGTTAGTATAAAGTTTTTATTGAGATATCCAAAATTTGAAAGTCTATATACTTTAAACTTTGTATAGGGGAGATTTTGGAGAAATAGCAAATAATGGGTGTGGAGTAAACGCAACATATATATAGTTTAACCTTCATGGAAAGAGAATCGAGAAACCATAGCATGTGTAATGATGAGGCAAAAATAGAATGCCACGCGGTGATATTAGAACATTTCAAATATTCAAACACGGTGACATTAATACATTTTAGATTATATTTAATTTATGGTCAAAGAGTATCATTATTTGACAATAAAAATCAAAATAAAAAATGTTTTTAGGTGCAGAGAGATTACAACACAAGAAAATAAGTACTCCATATATAGTAATATACTCTATAATATATTTTGTCTCGCAGCTACCGGCAAGCGTGACACAATATGTGAGAGCGTGCAACTGGACTTGATCACGCCTCTACATTCATGAATATAATGACATCTGATGAAGGCGTGTATACCTAGAAAAAATTGATAAAACCTATTTTTGACCCGGGACATGAATAAAAAATACTTCCTCCGTCCCACTATATTTGTCCACTTTCATTTTTGCACACCATCCAATACACTTCTTTAATCCATTTTATCTTGTAATTTGTATATTAATAAATTATATAAATTATATGTTAATAATCTATATGTTAAGACAAATCAAACAAGATCACACATGACTATATTTAGGCTCACACATTGAGAGAATTTGATGAGTCAAAGTGCTTGGATGAACAGTTCCAAAAGTCAAATGTGGACAAACAAAGCGGGACGGAGGGAGTAGTGGGTTTTTGAACAAAAATTTTGTAGACAAATCCGAAGATCGTCGAACAGGAAACGATCTGCTAAAAAGTAAAAATAGATCAAACTGAACTAAAACCAAACCCGACTGATCGCTAACTTAAAAGTAGTTCAAAATCATGTACTTAAATATGAAAAATAAGGTGACGGATGGGGGCAAGGAGTGCATATGAAGTTTCCTTCGAAAACAAACAAAAATCATTTTCGCCCTGATACGAGTGTATGGTACAGATTTTATGTTTTCATGTATATCGAATTTGCACGTACTAAAATTTCCAATCGGACATTCACATAGATTTCCACGTGTAGTGGTAGTAGATCCACATTAGATTCAGCAACCGAAGTCCAAATACCCAAACACCATTATTATAATATTTTCAACGAAACTCGTTATTACCCCGCACTAATTATTGTTAATTATTTCATTGTTAATTATGTTTGCATCCTCCGTCATTACCACTGATTATGGCAACATCTGACGGTTTATGATAATTATAGTTACGCATGAAACATGAACATGTCTGTACAGTACTCCTACCGTGCCACATTATATTTATTATTATTATTATTATTATTATTATTATTATTATTATTATTATTTTTATTGTTATTATTATTATTATTATTATTATTATTATTATTATTATTATTATTATTATTATTAATCACATGACAAACTAGAGTGGTCTAATGACCACCACTCCACACTTATTCTCTCTATATAGGAGGACTGAGTTCGACTCACCCTATAAACAAAAAAGGCTTACTTTCACCGATTTATAGATTTGAGAGTAAAATTCTATTTTTGCAGGTATCATTAAAAACAGCGCTCTAAAAAATTCCCAGCCCTAGTGGGGTATGATCAAACGCGTAGGGGGATGCAGTGTATCCTAATTCGTAGGTACAAGCCGGAGGTCCAGTTTCTTGTGGAGGGGCCGCAATGCGGTGGACCGGCTAGAATAAATAGTTTACCCTCCAAAATTTGTCCGTAGGCGTTGCACATTTGTCAAAGGCAAGGAGTGCCTGGAGAATAAGCAGGGCCGGTCCCGAAAAATGAAAAAATAAAATTGGCTGGGTCCAAAATTTATATTTTGGGTCCTATTTTATTTTTTTAGAATACTTATGTTTTAAAATTAATACAATATTTAAAAATATAAGACGCTAAAATTATAGGGACTCTGTGCGGTTCACTACTTGGCACACCCTTCGGGCCACCCATGAGAGTAAGACTCGAGTTTGATTATTTCTGGCGGTTGTGCTAGTAGACAACTATGCTAAGCATATGATTATTGTAGGAGTAAAATTAAAAAATAAAATTTATATATTCAAAAAACTATATCAAAAGTTCTACAAAACAAGAGATGACATGACTATATTATTTTATCAAATAGAAAATGATAAACTTAAAGATATGTGGGCCTAGTACTTTGCACACCTTCCAAGCCATCAATGAAATTGGAAGAGCGGGCAGTGAGTGTTGCGCAGTTGGCAAGGCAAAGGGTGCTGGGGGGTGTTAGAGTGTCATCCCACATCGGAAGTTCAAAAGCAAAATAATTGGTATATAAGCTCTTGACTTGAACTAACTAATCGATTAGGTTCAATCTTTTAATGTGGTTCAGCCCAAGTGTCTTATAGCCCAATCCAGTTATCTCTATCTCATCCTAAATTCTATCAAAGACGCGAGTTCGTTTTCTAGCAACTGAGAAGCAATTATACTAAACATATAACCTCTGCAACTATCAGGTGCAAGCTCTATACTTGGGAGAGATGGAGCTCATCTTTTCTTTGGGGAGCGGACAAAAAAGAAAGATAGATATTGATTGGGGCAATACAATTAATGCAAGGGCGGGGCCTGGTTGAGAATTGGGAAAACAGTGAGGAGATAATTACAAATAGAGAGAAATATTGGTGGGGAAAACGACAAATCTGAGAGAATTTGAATGGGCAGTGAAAACGAGAAACACATCTGAGTGAGTAGATGTGACTGTAACAGTCAAATTTGCAGAAGCGTCACTTTCCTCTCCTCTTGATGTGTGCTTTTCTTCTTCTTTTTTTTTATGAAACCCAGAAAAAAAAACTAACAAAAAAAATTGCATTTTTTTGTTTGCTTTCTATCCCAAATTTTAACTTTTACTCATCTCAACAAAATTATTACTCCTTTGGCTCGGAGTAATATTTCACACTTCTTTTTATTCTTTTTTCTAAAAAAATATTTTTCTTTTTAGGAAAAAATATTTATTTTTTTAATATTTCTGTTATCTTCGAACCACTTTAACAATTATTTACATAATTATATTTTTTTAATTTCTATAATCGGTCAATTGGGTAATACTATTACTAGCGAGCTGTAATAGAAGGTAAAAGACATGTCTCATCCATCCTCCATTAATTAACTTATTTTACCTTTTCAGGTTGCCAATAACTTTTGTTTACATACTTCGTATGTATTTTCATTGATCATTTGATATATATCTGAATATATATAATTAGAGGATGTTTTGCACTGAGTTAATTGTTAATAGTAATCATTTTAGTAAAATTTGCACTAAATAGGACTAAGACATAATGACTTTCTCAAGGACTTAAACTTTTTTATTCCTTAAATAGGACTTAATAATGACCTAGTGGGAGGAATAATGTCTAGTAATGATGGACATTTACTTGAATAATGACTACTTGATAATGACCAAAAGTCCTACATTGGGAAATAAAAACATATGGTCCTATATTGGGAAAGTCATTATGTTTTAGTCCTATTTAGGTAAAATTCTCATCATTTTATTCTGTTTGGCATACCAATTTCTGCTCTTTATCACCATCATTTTGTGCATAGAAAATTATTTCGGAATAGCAAATATATGGTATTTTTGTTTTCTGCTTTTATAAAAGTCATTTTGCCTGCAAGTTAATCACTTCTAAACACCTTCTTATTAGATATCAATTGTTTAAGTGCTTAACACTAACGTTAATTTTAGTTGAAGAGTGTTTACATAATTTATTTGACATTAATTGAATTCAAATTGAGTTTTAAAAAAAGGGACTTTATAGAATCGTAGAAATAATTAAATGCGTGCTGCTGCTGTTATTGCATTAAATACCTTTTTGCCTTGACATACATTTCAAAAAAGGCTACTATATGCCTCTAGATTGCCTGGGATTTTCAGCGCGCCCTGTAAAACAAAAAAAGTTAGGGCAAAAAAAAAAAAAAAAGAGCACAACACCTTAAAAATTTACGATAAAAGTGATAATTATTTTTTAAAAAGATTTGACCGTGAGTTATTCATTCAACATTGGATTAACATTTGTTAGAGAGTATCGCATACTAAAAAAGTGAAAAAAATAATGAGCATATAAATTTTTTAGATGAATAACGTAATCGATTGAATTTATATCTTATAATTTGATTCAGTCGGATTGTTTTATAGTAGAGTTCAATGACCCTTATAATATCCTAAATTCTGTCATTTTATTGGAGCCAATTTTAGTCCATCTCGCTTGTCAAGGTGTGCGTCTAAACGTTCAATTCTATAAATGTGACCGTTTAATCCATTTGTCAGTCTAAATCTTTAGTTTAGTTGTTCGTATAGGAAACAGTTTGTGGCCCATTTAACCCAATTATTCGTCTAGGAATCCATACTAAGCGATTCGTGGTCATATAAGTGTTGCCGCCGCATTCTCAAATATTGGTTTGGAAATGGCCCACCCAAGAATCCATTTACAAGTGGTCAACTGGTGAAGTTGAAAATGTTTTGCTTGTCCATTTGAAGGGGATCGGAGTTTTTGAAAGTATCCCGCATCAAAAGAGTGACAAGAAAATAATAGATACATAATCTCTTGAGTTGAACTAAATAATTGATTGAGTACAATCTTTCAATGTGGTTCAATTTTTTATTATTAATTAATTCAATTTAAGTTAGATGTAATTTGTGTTTATTATTCTATTTTCTGCGCTTACTTTTAAAGTGAATTTAAGATATGTTTTATACAATATTTATAAAAAGGTAAGATGTAATGAGTAATTCAATAATATATATTGAGATTATAGATTATAGTAATATTAAAAGGGAATAATTTTTTGGAACAGATGAAAAAACAGTTTTTTTTGAACCCTATCAAAAATTCATAGAGATCACATGTTTTGTGAATACAATGACACAAATTATGGGACATCATATCAAATCCTCATGGAGAATAAATAAGGTCACCTACAAATAAATAAAATGTTTACTTGTGAATACATATAATAATAATAATAATAATAATAATAATAATAATAATAATAACAATAATAATAATATAGCTACCAAAATACATTTCAGTCTCTCCACACCATCACACGCCAATCTAGGGAAGAAAGAAAAAAAAGATATTCTCAAAGAAAAATACAAACATAAAAAAACAAAAATGAAAGACAAATTAAAGCATTCTAATAATGTAGAGATATATATATATATACTACCTCAACATGATCTGCATGCAAATCCTCATTTGATGACAAACCACATGTACCATTTCTTCTAATTAATCACGCTTCAATTATACATCAAATCTGCATTTACGTGCCAATTCCATTATCTTTAATTGTTTTCTTCCCTCATTAATCACTGAAAGTTTAAATTATTTACTATTTTTAGGAATAATGTTTTGCACAAATAAAAATTTAATCCTAGAAATGAAGTAGAAGCAAAATGCTAGCTAGATTTACATCTAGATGGAGTATTTTACCAAATATAGAGCATTCGAGTTTTAAGCAATATATTAAAACATAAAATCATGATTAATTTATTTACGTCATACAAACATAAATCATACTCTCTCCGTTCTAAAACATATTGGTACAGTTTGATTTTTAGTCAAACATTGCAACACTTTAACCACAAATGATGGAAAAAATATATTCAGTCAAAATGTAAATAGTTTACATTTTGTAGAATTTTATATGTTGTTCGAGAAAGAATAGTTTTTAAGGTGTGAATAGTGAATAGGAAAAAAACTTTAAGATGAAGTGATTAAAGTTTAAATGTGTAAATATTAACTGAATTTTTTAAGACAAACGGAGTAATATTCAAATTGAAAGGATGAAGGGGCAAAAGAGTCATTTAATAACTTTTCACTTTAGTGGCTCAATTTTCTCGCCTCTTGGGGGATAAAACTTTTCTTTTTGGCACATAAGTGTATTTTCTTTCTCTCCACGTTTTTTATTACAAACAAACAAGAAAAAATATGTTGAAATTTGTATTTTCTCCTCTACCTTTTCTTTCTCTTAAAAATCACCCCATCCAAACAAATTTTAGTATTTAAATAGACTTAAGCCTTGGTTGAGAACTACAGTCTAAGAATTACATTTTTAGTTACCATTAGGTTCTAGTTTTTTTACGAGTATAGATTAAAAAAATACTACCTCCGTCCCAGAGTATTTATTCACTTTTATTTTTACACATCATCCAATACACTTCTTTAATCCATTTTATCTTGTAATTTGTATATTAAAAAATTATAGAAATTATATATTAATAATCTATATGTTAAGACAAATCAAACAAGATCACACATGACTATATTTAAGCTTACACATTGAAAGAATTTGATGAGTCAAAGTGCTTAGATGAACAATTCCAAAAGTCATAACTGGACGAATACTCCGGGACGGAGGGAGTCGTTTTTTTTAAAACACTAAACATAAACACTAAATTCAAGTGTACCACATGTAGTTAAAATTGATTTTTTAATATCAAGAATTAAATAAAATTGATGATATTATGTGGGTATTTACTCGTTGCAATTATAAATTAGTTAAAATTGCTTATAAATTATTTTTAAATTTTTATTAAGTTGATGATGTATTTTTATGTGCTTATAAGCTATTTACTCGTAAAAAAGAAGTAGAAAACATAAGTATTACCTACTTATTTTGAAACTGATTTTTTTTTGTTTGATCATTTTGATCAAATTATTTAGAAATCTATGTCTCGCCTTTTACTAATATTCACAAATGACATATCTCTCATTTAAGTCTTTTTATTCCTAAGAAAAGTTATTGAACTTATAAAAAATAAATAAACTAAAAATTGTTTATCAACAAAAATTAAAATTATTTAACTCACATGATTAATGAGTGGCATTCTGGTCATCGTGTGCACTATGATCTGGAGACTGATGATGATGATGATCGGAATTCATATTCGGAGCGCCTCTTGGATGATAGGCATTTAGAGCGGCCAACATTCCCAAATTGCCCCCCTCCGGCATTCCTAATCCCAATTGCCCCGACGGCTGCGGCGGCGGCATTATCAAGGACCCCAGCTGCAATGGGCTTCCTCGGTTCCCCGGAAAATCAAGATTGCCGGTCGGGATGCTGAATCTCGACACGAATTGTAACGGCGCTTGAAGGGATCCGCCATTCCCTCCTCCGGCCCCGGCATGGAATGCCCACATCTGCCCCTGTTCCGCTCCGCCGCTCACCGGAAGCATCGACAAACCGCCGGACACGCTGTGCGGCGCCTGAGCCACCGCCCACATGGCGGCGGCGGACGGCATCATATTTGGGTGTCGGAGTACACTGGACGGCGCGCCGGATGGAGAATCTTGGGTACTGGAGGCCGGACTTCCTTTGAATTGTTTGTTCACCGGTGAATCGGAGCCTCGCCGGCCGCCGGAAGTTTCCCCTTGGCGATTACTCGGCCCTTCTTCCTTCTCCCTGTATCTTTTCCCTAAGTAATTCTCGGTCGCGTCCGGTCCCCTGGCTCCGCCGGTATCTCCACCTCCGGGGAGTGCTCCGGCGATCTGGGTCGGCGGTAAGAATTGAGAAGGCTGGTGAAATCCTAGCATATGGGAGTAGCCCTCCTCGTAATTGTGAGCCGAAAGGGCTAATGAGCTGTGGAAAGAGTGAGGAGCGGACTTAGACGGCGGCGCCGACAGAGACGAGCCGCTGCTACGGAGGGAGATGTTTAGGGTGGAGAAGTTCGCCGGAATCGTACCGGTTCCGGTGGAGGCTATGATGGCGGGCTCTGCTTGTTGGAGTAGCCACTCGATTGTCTCGCCGTCGGACTTGTGGCCCAGTTCTCTAGTCAGCTGGAAAACACGCGCCGCGCAGGCCGCCGGCATTCGGATGCGCCGGCCGCGGCCGTCTACTTTCGTGTGGCGGTCCTTGGTGGATCTCTTCGGCGGCGGCGGCGGAGGATGTATTTGGAGCTGTTGGGATTCCGGTACCGTGGCAATTGCTAGGGAAGCGTCGACGAGATTCTGCGGCGGAGCACCGGCGGCGGCGGAAGTCGTGGAGGCGCTTGTTGAGATTGAGACGCTAGAGGCCGATGAGGTAGAGGCGGTAGAATTGTTAGCGCCGAGAGCTGCGGCGGCCGCGGAGATTGAAGACATGAAAGGGACCGATCGGGCGGTGGTGCTGCCATGGGGGTGGTGGTGGTGGTTGATGGGCGGAGGAACGGCGGTGGAATTTGGTTTGTTATTGCTTTGTGTGTTTGAGGGTGGTTCCATTATGGGTTTTGGTTATGTTTTTGTGTAGGTTAGCTGGCTGTGGGGTAATGGTAATCAACCCATTTTCTTGGTTGGGTTCAAATCCTACTTTCTGTTTCTTTTTTTTCCTTTTCTAAATACTTACTCCTCATGAATATGGTTCTGATTCTAAACCTGTAAGGACTAAATGTTTTGAGTCAAAATTGGGTTTATATGTTTTGAGTCAAAATTGGGTTTATATATATTTTATTAACTTTAATATATAAACACTATAAAAAAAAATAGGACTTCTGATTCAAAAATTGTTTGTCAACCTATTATGAAAATTATTAGAAGGTCCACATTTTACATGTGGGAATAAAAAAACGAACAAACAACTCTATTTTCCTAAACATTGCACAAGAATATAGTCTCCTGTCCAAATTATATGGTACACCGGATGTACCATACATCATTGTAAATTTATAATTAATTTTTTTTCAAATAAATACTACTCCCTCCGTCCCCGAGTACTCGTCCAGTTTTGACTTTTAAAACTGTTCATCTAAGCACTTTGACTCATCAAATTCTCTCAATGTATAAGCCTAAATATAGTCATGTGTGATCTTGTTTGATTTGTCTTAACATATAGATTATTAATACTCCGTATATAATTTCTATAATTTTTTAATATATAAATTACAAGATAAAATGAATTAAAGAAGTGTATTGGATGATGTGTAAAAATGAAAGTGGACAAATACTATGAGACGGAGGTAGTACATTGTTTCAGAATGAACAATATATTTTTCCAGAATGAACACACTACACTAAGCAGACTTGAAATGAGCATTATTATATGTTGTTTCATAATAAACACTACGTTAATTCACAATGAACATTTACTGAATTATCTAGCTCTCGGTATACTCAGATGTACACTTTAGGCTCTCCTATATGCCTACATAAGAAATGGAGAGCCAAAAATGGATGCTGTATGAGATCTTTAGTGCTAAACACCTGCTCTCAAATACATTATATTGAAAAGAGTAAAAAAAAGTGCTAGTGTGGAAAATAGGAAGCTCTATGGATAAAGACACCATGTAAATGTGCCTTTAGTGCACTAATCACGCATTTTTAATTGCTAGCATTCCAAACATTTAAATAAGGACTATTATTTTTTAGTGTTAATATTTGCTACCCGTCGCCGAATACATGTCTTGTTTTGACTTTTTTCAGTCATTCATATTAATTAAATAAAAAATATATTATATTTTAATTAGATAAAATAATATTTAAAAAAAATTATATGATAAATATACGTAATAAAATAATTTTTGTATCAATATTTCATATCCTTTTTATTTAATTCGGGGTCAAAGTTTACCAATTTTAATAAATAAAACTTAAAAGTGGAGAAATACTTAGGACGGAAGAAGTATTTCCTATACATATCTTCAAAAAAAAATCTCTATGTTTTCAAATTAAAGTCTGTTTGTTCTATTCCACGTGTTTTAAAAAAGTGTACTTCTCCAATTACTCCCCCGTTTTAAAATACTTCGTGTTTTAGTTTAAGAAGTTTGATTGGACTTATCTTCAATTTAATCTATTCAAGTATAGGTGTAAAGATATGTATATATATAAACTGTTAGACAATAATATTAAGTATTTCTAGTTATGGTAGAAGTTGTATTTTAGTTAGTTTCCATTCTCTATTCCTAGTTGTGTTAGGAGCTTCTTCTATATATACTCTATCATGTACTTCATAATTCATGGAGCAATATTATTATTCTAATATTTCAACTTGGTATCGGAGCCACCGCTCTTGGTGACCTAAAAAAAGATCTTTGCTCCCACCGCCGCCGCCGGTAATTTTGGCAACGGCGGCTCCACCCTATTCACCTCTATTTTCGTTTCCTTCTTTATCCTCAAATCAGTTTCTCCATTCAAATGAAAAAAAAATCCCAACTCCTCACAAACTCTCTCAGATCATCCTATCTTCTCAAAAAAAAAAGGAAAAAAAAAAAAAGATTATTGTTTCTCTCTAATTCACCATATCAAAATCTCAGACCCAAATTTTTTTCCATCACCAATTCTTAACCTACCTTTTCTCTCTAAAATCATTCATTCTAATCATCAACCTCCCTTCTCTTTCTCTTCTGTTGAGCCAATAAAAATCCAAAGTAATTCAGCACAAAAACAAAGCCAAGAGGGGAAGTAGTGAAAGAGGAAATAAGACCTCTACAACTCACCCCTTCAAGAAGGAAATAGGGCATTGCCCGGATCCAAGAAAAAGACAAAAAAATGTCAAGGATCTTCAGTCAAATAGGCACCTGCAGTAGCCTTCTCTATTCTTCTTCGACGTCAGCAGCTAGAAGCGCACGTCAACCTTCTCTCTTCTTCTTCAACGTCAGCAGCTACCAGCGCACGTCAATTTCTCTCTTCTTCAACGATGTCTGCAGCTACCAGTGCATGTCAGACTTCTATCCTCTCCAACGATGTCAGCAGCCACCGGCGCACGCCAGACTTCTTTCTTCTCCAACGACGTCAGCAGCCACCGGCGCACGTCAAACTTCTCTCTTCTCAAAGTTTCCAGTTTCCGGCTAGTGTCCAAGCTTCCTCTTGCTTCAGCCAGAGTTCAGCTTGAGGGGGGATGTTAGACAATAATATTAAGTATTTCTAGTTATGGTAGAAGTTGTATTTTAGTTAGTTTCCATTCTCTATTCCTAGTTGTGTTAGGAGCCTCTTCTATATATACTCTATCATGTACTTCATAATTCATGGAGCAATATTATTATTCTAATATTTCAACAAACTATGTCTAATGCTCTACAAAATAGAAGCTGATATCACTATATTATTTTATCAAATAACTAAAAAAGAAGTTAAAAACAATTAACATTTGATCATGTGAATAATAACTGAAAAGAAATTAAAGTTTTTTGATGGAAGTAATATCTTTCAAGAATTAAATAGATGGCTCTCAAATACACAACTAAATTTTGGCCTTGTTTGGGAAAAGCGTTTTAATTAACATTAGCGTTTTGAATAAAATTAAAATTTAACGATGTAGATTAACTTTGAAAGCGTTAACGCTAAAGCCTACCGTTAAATAACCTTTTCAAAACGATAACGCTAACCTCTAACGCTGATGTCAAACGGGGCCATTATTGTAAATTGAAAAAAGGATAAAGGATAAAATTAGTTTGGTTACAAATGATGAGTAATAATCTCACACACACACATACTTTTGAAAAGATTTTTGTGGTACATATTTTTTCTTCCAAATACAATACTTTCAACCAAATGATATCACTTTCTTTTAAATTCCATAATAAAATAAGTGTAGAGTATATTAATTTAAGAGGGAGGAAGTATACTAATCACTAGAGTATACAAAATGACATTTAAGCGTCTCTTTCACGAGATAGATTTCCTATTAGTGCTCCTACTTTTGACTTTCCTTCACCCCACAGTTTCACAATATAAATAAATAATAAAAATATTTCGTCCCTCCCAATTTTAATTTGTACTACTCTGTATTCGATTTTACATACCTGAGAAAAGTATTAAAAATAAAAATTTTGTAGTTGAAGTTTGTTTTAAAAATATATTTAACTGTTTCGAAATACTTAAAAATAAAGTATATCGATTAATTCAAAAAAAATAGAGAGCAAAAAGTAAAAAGGTACACAATACAAAATAGTGACTAGATAAGTAAACACAAAAGTATTGTATGATTAGGCCGGTAAATGTGTACGTACATTTTCTATTTTCTACTCGTATGAATGTAATGACCGACTTCCACTCACTATTGGAAAATGTTCATTTGTATTTAAGCTTATTTTTTACCTTAATCAGCTTATTTTTTTTACTTATTCTCTTCAGCTTATTTTTTTTACCCTAAGAGTCTATTCTCTTCAGCTCATTTTTTTACTTATTACTTACTCTTATTTGAATCAGATAAAATAAAAAAAAGTCCGGATCAAATCATCCACAACTTTATATTACACTAGACTCAAATTAAATCGGATAAGTTCAAATGTTCAGATCAAATCTTAATAAATAAATATAAGATCAGAACTTAATAAATTCCGATCAGAACTAATCAGGTCAGACGAAGAGAACATAACCTAAGACCCATGATTTTTTTAGTAGGATCGGATTTGCTATTCAAAAAGGGGTTGTGACGTAATTTTTTTGCCCGTTTGATTGATTTTAGTACAAGAGTAAATTTTATAATTGATCCTTTATAATAGGGGGGTTTCCATATTTAGTCCTCTATTATCAAATATTACCCCCGTAGTCCTTTTTTTTAAGGGTACCTTTCCACAAATGATCCTTTTTTTGATCTTCTGTCGTGTTGGTGTTAATTTAAATGCTAAAAGTATAATTTGACATCAACATTATGTTTAGTGACGTGTTCTGATATTGGTTAAGCGGATAACACAAAAATAATGATTATGGTTGTGGGCTAGGGTTCTGACGAAAGACCACATTTGTAGACTATGGTTGTAGTAAAAAGCGACTGTAATTCACAAACGACGCAAACGGAACAGCCTTTGAAATTGTGTATGACAAAAAAGATATATTATCATTGTGAAATTACACTTTTAGCCCTCAAATTAACACTAACATGATAGAAGATCAAAAAAAGGACTATTTGTGGAAAGATACCCATGAAAGAAGGACCACTTGGATAATATTTGATAATAGAGGACTAATTAGGGAAACCCCCTGTTATAAAGGACCTATTATAGAATTTACTCTTAGTACAAACATAATGTAAATGAAAAAAAATAAACGTGTGTAATATTTCATTTTTGAATAATTTATGATTAAATGTGAGGGTGTATTGGTCATAGAAGCTGGCTGAAGAGTCGTTTTCAGTGAAAATAAAGAGTGAGTGGGAATGGGAGAGGTGTCCCAACAAACAGCTAATAATCATATAGTACACAAACTACGTACACACTGTTTGGTATGTGGTTGTTGATGAACTCTTGTCCTCTTATATGCCTCCAATGGGTTGACATTTTAGGATGACATTGCATTTAAAACTAGGAAATGTCTACTTGCACACCACTGAGCCTACACCAAGTTGTACACCAAAGATATGCATCAACACTTTAATCACATATCCTATGATGGGGGATAACCCCACGTCAGCCTAGGGCTGACGTCAGCATGTACTTCGCCGAAGGGAAGTATCGGGCTTGGTCGTCTCTGCTGGGCACCCGAGCTCCGCTCGGCCCTACCAGCTCGGCTCACGAGCTCCGCTCGGCCCTCCCGGCTCGGCTCACGAGCTCCGCTCGGCCCTCTCGGCTTGGCTCACGAGCTCCGCTCGGCTCTCCCGGCTCGGCTCGGCCAACCAAGCCGAGCCCGAACCCCATGACAACGACGTGAAGAAAACGACTTGCGATAAGGACTTGATGAAAGTGATGGGACAATACCAAGGGACAAGTGACGTCCGCTAAACGACGAACCTCGATCAGAGGGCTTTGACTTAGTGTATTGTATCCCCTATAAAAGGATCCAAATTCTAAGTGAAAACTCCTACTTTACATTCTCTCTCTCTAAAACTTATATTATTTGATATATTCAGTGGTTTATAGCCATCGTCCTAATAAAAAATGTCTGTGCAATCGTAAAATTTTGCATTGATATTTTATGACAGTGTGAGCCATGAATGTGCAGTGCGAACCTTTGGGGTCAAACTTGATGTACACCAAATAGTGCACACCTAGCATGACTATAAATTTATTCTCTCAAAACACTTGCATGTGATGTCTATGAGAAACTCGTGTTATCAACTTAGCTATCTCTGCGAACACTAAATTCAGTAGGGTTTCTTAACATTGGAATTTCATGTCATCCTATGATATTAGCTCTAATTGGAGACCCGACGATGTCTCGTTCAAAAAAAATGACTGTCTCTACCTTCTAGTTTTTCGATAAATCATCACTCCGGCCCCACCCAAATCGGCCGTTTATCTCCTTCAATTCCACCCCGCAATTTTAGTTGATTTTAAATTTTAATATATAATATGATCAGTCAAAATGGAGGGAGTATATGTCCTATTATGTAGTATATGTACTAGGTCCATTGCCAATTTTAATTCATAATGTTAGTCGATTCTTTAGCTGCATACATATGCTTTTTTTTAATAAGCATTACGTTTAGTTAAGTAATCAAATAAATTACAAAAATTAAGTATGATTCATCATAACAAGTGTACATACCTAACCAATAGATGTTCCGGTGACTTTTTTACTTTTTTTTTGAGGATGTGGAATCCCAAATGCAATTTCCAAATCCTCCAAAGGTTAAGCTACCAATCTCCATGGAAAAATTCAAAACAAGACATATCATCAAATTCTGTCTCGTGACACTAATCATGTTACCAAGTCCCAAGAGCTCAATCCATTTCCAAACATCATCCTTTTCCTCTGTTTCTCCAATGTCTTCTTCTTCTTCTTCTTCAAATGTATCTTCATTGAGTTTCAAAACAAAGCATACTCTTCAAATTTTGTGTCATCTTAGGGGTCACCACAAGCCTAATCTTCATATTCTGTCTCTTCGTCATCCTCGTCGTCATCATTATTGGGACCCCAATACCTATATCCATCTCCAACGCCATCCCTCTCCTCCTCTGTCTCTTCGCTATCTTCTTCGTATCTAACTTCATTGACAGGCCACTGTTTCTTCACTACACTCAAATTGGTCTGGGAGGTGCCAGAATTTTTACGGTTTGCGACTTTTGCTGGAGGCATTTTCAAGTTCGGCTTTGGCCTGCTCTGTTTCTGAGTCTTTCCATTCCCATGGTGTTTCCCACCATATGCTTCCTTGTCACTCTCTTCATCCATCATCTCGTTTTCAACAGCAGCTGAAGGGGCCAGAGGTTGAGCGTTCTTGTTGGCATTGTCATCTGGGAAATGGCCTGGGTGTTCTTTCCTTAAATGGAGATTGAGCTTGTATTCATGGATGTAAGCTTTATCGCATCCTTCGTATGGGCATACGTGAGGACGGTCAGATGACGAGGCGTGTGCTCCTCCAGTAGATTTTGGTGTTTTGGTTGGCCTCTCTATAGTAGGCGGGGGAGGAGTATACTTCGTCACTTCTGCTGTGGCATTCTGCAGAAAAATATTTTCCATGTTGGAAAAATTGAAACCATTTCCTAGCTATGAAAACAAATGAACACTAACACTATGTCTGGTTCAAGGAATTTCAAAGGGAAACGAAAAGAAAATGAAGTGGAAAACAGTTTTTCTTGTTTGGTTAGAGAGGAAAAGAAAGGAAAAGCGAAAAGAAAAAAAGAAGGCAAAACGCAATAAGAGGAGGGAAACTCAAATTTCTCCCATTTTGGCGAGGAAAATGAGAGAAATTCATTTTCTTTTCTTTTACTTCCAAATTCCTTGAACCAAACATAGTGTAAGGAACTTGAGAAAGAAGTCAACCTTTTGATGAGAAGTTGCAATGTGATTTTTAAGTTTGTACTCGTGGGCATATCTCTTTCCACATTCTGGAAAAGGACAAATATGGTAATTTTCTTGTGAATGTGTCCTCATATGAGACTTCAGGTTGAAATCCAAAGAGAAAGCCTGCAAAATTACAGCTCACAAAATAAATAAACTTGCGCTGCAATCTTGTAAATTAGGTCAACAACCTACCTAGTAAAATTCCACAAGTGGGATCTCTAGAATCGAGTGAATAATGCCATTATAAAACTTCTCCACAAAATTTAAATTATTTATCAATGATATTTTCACCATTGATGTATATCAAACAACACAAAAAAGGAGGCAATTAATAAGAAGGAGCATAAGATAAGGATTTCCAACGAAGAAAACAAAGCTTGTTCAGTAACCATATGAAAACTCCGAGACAGTTACCTTGCCACATCCTTCCACTGGACACACGAAAGCTCTCTCCCCAGTATGAGTAAGGAAGTGTCGCTTAAGCTTTGAACTATCTAAAAATTTCTGCAAGTTAAGCTCAAGGTTCAGTATGAAAACCGACAAAATTAATGTGACCCCCTCCACCCGAAATACTCACCAAACTGATCTAGCAACCAAACAAAAACAGCAGAACATGAAGAGCGTTGTAGGAAGTCAGAAGAGATTAAGAAGAGTATCTAACTTGTTTTTATTTAGAAATAAAAACATTAAGTTATTCAAAAAAAACATCATCCTCGCAATATGGATTTTCTAAGGGAAACGATGCCAGCTAACTAGCTATTCACAGTTCATTATAGACTCGGAAATAATTATAACATAAACTAACGCTAGTGAGACATTAAGCTAAGTCAACTGATCCTCTGAAATATCGGAAGAGATGAGCAAATGAAAACACTGCAGCATGGCTGTAGCAATGGATGGGCAATCCAGACTGCTGCCCACCCCAAGTTTGAGTAGTTCTTTTTTTTTTAGAACTTTTTGCCTGTGTAACATTTTTAGTATATAATTTAAATGAACAAATCCGACTCACCCCGAATTTGAATTATGGGTAGCCCACGCTACGACATTGACTGCAGATATACTGAAGAGGTATGATGTATACCTTTCCGCAATTTTCATAGTGACAGATATATTGTCTATCTCCATGGATGTGAGAATGTTTCCTCAAAGCACCAGCATCAATAAATGTCTTTCCACAGCCTTCATAACTGCAGAGGAAGAGAACTTCTGTAGCTGGCTCTGGCTCTGCGTCTGGAACTTCTGTCTCATTCGAGTTCTCCTTTAAAGCTTTCAGTGTGGCTTCTGATGAAAGAAAATTTTAAAATTTGGCTTACCATTCTATAGCTAAATGGGAAGAGGAAAACTACTAAATGAAATTTGATTTAACCAAGTGCATGAAACACTGCGTGACAAGTGAACCAATAAAGTATGTGATCTTCCATTAGCAACATATTAAAAGCAAAAACGATAAATAGATGTGCACTGGATTTGGGAAGCTAGAAATCAATCAGAACTAACCATTAACCCATTTTAAAATCAAGCACTTCCCACCTGTTGCTACAACATCTTGTGGCACCCTAACAGAGTAACAGTAAATGTAGTGAGTAGCACAATTCACACAAGAATCCCATGATAAAAAACCATTTAAAAATGGAAAATTAGAAATTGATTTGGTAATCTGGAACTAATGGAATGAGGAATGCTAGATGTCATAGGAGAATTGTCAAAAAAATGAAATAATAAATGTTCGCTCCAAGGTCGAAGTAACTTTCTTTCTTTGGAAGGAAACAAGGGAAAAGATAAGAACAACACAATGACTAATTTAAATAAAAAAAATTGGTCTTCAATGCCACAAATGGACTTAGATACAATATGCGGAGTACCAAACTATCATAGAAAACGAGCATAAATGAATACGTATAGATGATTTAGTAGTCTTCAACATCATAGCGTTCATCAAAACCACAGGTTTTGGGTTCTGCATACGTTTCCTCATTCCACATCCCCCTTCAGTCATCCATTCTTCTCTAGTCTCCTCTGAAATAGGATATTAGGATGGTCTTTGTGTGTGGCTTCTGCTGCAGCTTTGGAGGCATCCCACTTCCTTTGTGTTCACACAGCAGTTCACTCACTCCATGTTATGTTGTGTTGCACTTAGCCGCTTCCAAAACCCCAAAGCCCTCACATTGATGAACACTTCAATCCTTAAGCTCCCGAAATCAGTATTTTCAAATTCAAGTAAACGGGAGGTCAGCGTTGATTCAAAAACAAACACAACCCTGATGATGTCTAGCTTAGAAAAGTTCAGTCCATATGAAATAACAGCTACGGAAAGTGCAGCTCTGGATAACCCACTTGGTTTTCTCTCTGTCTGCATCCAATCTTGCTTTCAAACTAACAACGATATGAGGTGCAGTTCAGGAAAGTGGGACACATATGGATTTTGTCTCACAATCATCACATAAACGGTTAGTGAACCTATGAATAAATAGGCAAGGAATCTTCAGGTCTTTGAACAATTGGGTGCTCTTCAAGGCTTAGAAGTTCGCAGAGCTGTAAGAAGACAACACCTTAGGTGACTATGCTGAGAGATAAATATGGTCTAGAGGCGGCGGTAGGAAGCTGGAGTCCAGCTAAATTCTAATGAAATCCCCCAAGATGATAATAAACAAAACTCAAGAAACTCGTATAATCACAGAATAAGAAAAGGAAAAACCAAATCGATTAAGAAATCTATTCTTCCTTTCTTAAATCTGGCTTACCATTCCTTGACCCATTTCGTTGCTGGAGCTCTGGACCTGGTGATGGAGCGTCGGTCGAGGAAGTTGTGGAACGCCTGAGCCTCCATCTAATCACCGACGCCGGACGCCGATCGACCGATTCTTCTTCTTCTTCTCCCTACAATGCTGGTAACTAGGGTTCTAGATTTCGATTTTCGATTTTCAGGATCGCGTGGTTGAAGAAATTCGGAGCACAACATACTCGTATATGATAGCTGTGCCATTGCAAGAGTATTTCTTTCTTTCTTTAGGATCGGTTTGCCATTGTTTGTTCCTTATCTAAAAAAAATTGAAAAAAGTGGGCTGGACTAATAGAATAGATTTTCTATTCCATCCGATCCAAGAATGAAAATTTTGGATTTGTATCAAATAATTTCGGATGTCACACCCCAAACAAAACTTTATCATTTTCAAAATTATTTTAATTGCAAATTAATATAAAAATAAAATGTATAAATTACACCATTTAAAAATACATGTAAAATTCTATACAACAAGAAATGACAAAAATATTTTTTTTGTTTTGAAAATTTTGATTTTATATAGACTAGTTATACGAATGCCTCTACGGTATAATAAAATGAATAAAAAATTTTGAAAAATTTGATTCATTTGATTCAATAAATTAAGATATTTATTGAGTTTACAAGTGGTTCTTATATGCCCCTAATATATTGAGTGATATGTAGCTTAGCTTGGTGCTACTATTAGTAATTTAGTGCATCTCGTCAATAATGATCAAACGGTATAAAATGAATAAAAAAGAAGGATGACATCCCATCCCTGAGGGTTTTTCAGTGCTGACCGGACAGTTAGCTGGGAAAAGATAAATTGAATTATAATCTCAGTCACTTGGTATAAAGGTGAGATTCCATGTCTGGTACTTGTAGAAGTTTCACGATTTGCATGGTTGCCTCTCATTGCATCCGCCATGCTTCGAACTCGGGATCTCCCCCTTGTAGCTCTTCTATGCCAACCGCTGAGCTACTATACGAATCACCACCATATAAAACGAATAGAGTAAATTCTATAATTGGTCCTTTATAACAGGGGGGTTTCCCTATTTAGTCCTCTATTATCAAATATTACCAAAATGGTCCTTCTTTTATAGGTACCATTCCAGAAATAGTCCTTTTTTGATCTTCTATCATGTTGGTGTTAATTCGAGGGCTAAAAGTATAATTTCACAATGATAATATATCTTTTTTGTCATACACAATTCCAAAGGCTATTCCGTTTGCATTGTTTGTGAATTACAGTCGCTTTTTACGACAATAGTCTACAAATGTGATCTTTCGTCAGAATCCTAGCCCACAATCATAGTCATTATTTTTGTGTTATCCGCTTAACCAATATCAGAACATGTCACTAGACATAATGTTGACGTCAAATTATACTTTTAGCATTTAAATTAACACCAACACGGCAGAAGATCAAAAAAAGGACCATTTGTGATAAGGTACCCTTAAAAAAGGACTACGGGGGTAATATTTGATAATAGAGGACTAAATATGGAAACCCCCATGTTATAAAGGACTAATTATGGAATTTACTCAAACGAATAATAAAAAAATCAAGATGCGGTCCAATAAATTTAATGTTTTCAAGTACGTACATAAATAAAAAAATATAATGTCAATTACCTGAATTAGCTAACATGCTAAAAACATGCTATTAATCTTGTTTAGTCAGTTAAGGTAAAAAGAACTAACCATCTATCTAATCTTGTCATTAACTCCTCTAACTTAATTACTCCAGTCTGGCATGAGCTTTGTATTTGTCCCACTATATTACCGAGTACCAAAGTGCACCTGATTTTTGCTTTGCAATACCTTTTATACATGTTAAAGAAATTTCTTACGAAATGGCAAGAAAAATATTATCACCCCTTCTAATTAATGATATTTTCACACTATTTAGTGTAGATATATTACGCTTAACCTTGTTAAATAAAGATAATAAATACAATAACAATGACATTACAAACTAGATAATGAAGAGAAGGAATAAAAATTTAAATACTTTTATTAACTAAAAATGTTTATATTATGTTTTAAAATTTACCAAAGTAAAGCTGTACAAGTAAAAACCGTGACCTTTTATGTGACTATGTGAGATTTCGGCTCTATATGTGATAGGGAAAATCGAAACAACAACTTTAATATTTTAATGTAAAATGTGAGGACTATCTTAGTGATCCAGTATCATATTATGACACCTAAAACCGGGACCAAACCATGCGTAAAAATTAAATATAATCAATTACACACATTATTTTATTTCCTTTTTCCCTCTAATTTTCTTTCCCCCTATATATGTATGCATGTTTTGGTTGTGGTAGTCTTTTATTTTATAATAAATTATAAATCCCCAAAGCTCAAGAATTCATCATCACCATCAGTTATTATTATCAGATACTTAAATGGGATTAAACCCAGATTTCTTCTCAGTCCATGGGAGCTCAAAGTCTGGGTTTTTCTTGATCCTATTGCTATCACTCATGTGTTTATTACTGTGAGTATACAATTAATGTTATATTATAAAGAAGCTAAGACCAATTTAATCAGTAATTTTCTGTTTCAAATCATTAATTAATCACGCTTTACTTTCTTCTCTATAATTAATTTCGATTTCATGGAGAATTTTGATCAGTGGAAATGCAGATGCGTACGACCCTTTGGATCCCAATGGGAACATAACCATCAAATGGGACATCCTTCAAGAAACCACTAACACCCAATTCGTATGTTTCTTTCTTTTTCTTTCAATGAGAAACAAACACTTGATTAGTAAATGTTTAATTTGTTTCCCTGTAATTTGTTTTTCTTCCCTTTTTTATGTACCATTTCATGATTTCCAAACACTTAGATATGTTTCTCAATGATTGTTGATTTGTTGCAGGTCAAAATAACTTTGTTAAACTACCAATTATTCCGGCACATAGACCGTCCCGGGTGGAAGCTGAGCTGGGGATGGGCAGGTGATGAGGAGATCTGGGAAATGTGGGGAGCAGAGGCCACAGAGCAGGGAAACTGCTCCGCGTACAAGTCCGGGCAGCTGCCCCATTGTTGTGAGAAGGTACCGGTCATTGTCGACCTTCTGCCCGGAGCCCCTTACAACAAGCAGGTCCTGAATTGTTGCAAGGGAGGTGTCCTTTCTTCATTGACTCAAGACCCCGAAAAGTACGGGGCCACCTTCCAGATGAGCGTGGGGCGCGCCAGTAACACTAAGGGTTCATTACTAATGCCGGGAAACTTCTCTGTTGGGGTCCCTGGGTATACGTGTGGGGACCCCTTTGAGGTGCCTCCCAGCAAGTTCATTGAGGATCAAGGGCGCCGTAGGACACAGGCTCTTGGTAAGGAACTGACCCAAATGTCTTATAGTCCAGTCCAGTGACTCGCGCCATAACTTAAATTTCATGGTTAAGATTGTCCTCTTTGTGTTGCAGGAACGTGGAACGTCACGTGTTCTTACTCCCAGTTTAGAGCTCAAACATCTCCAACTTGCTGTGTTTCTTTGTCTGCATTCTACAACAAAACCATAGTCCCCTGCCCAACCTGTACTTGTGGCTGCCCGGGGCTGCCCACATCCTCAAAATGCTTAAAGTAGTATTCCACTTTTAGTAAACAAATCTAATTCTTCCCAATTAAAGGTTCAAGTTGATATATTTATGTGAATGCAGAGTTGGGGAAAAGACACCGGTGTTTCATGACTTGGACCAAGAAGTGGCACTAGACCCAGTGGTTTTGTGCACCGATCACATGTGCCCGATTAGGGTTCACTGGCATATAAAACAAAGTTACACACAGTACTGGAGAGTGAAGATCACGGTCACGAATTTCAACTTTGTGAAGAACTTTAGCCAGTGGAACTTGGTGGTCCTTCATCCAAACCTGAGAAATGTCACCCAGGTTTTCAGCTTCAACTACAGGCCTCTTAACCTGTACGGCGATATAAGTAAGCCAAAGCCAAGACTTTCACCTTTCATTTCACCATTGGATCATCATCATCATCTTCTTCTTCTTCTTGGTGGGCATACATGCAGATGACACTGGAGTGTTCTATGGGATCCAGCAATACAACGACGTGTTGCTTCAACAGGGCAAGAGTGGGAATGTGCAGACAGAGTTGTTGCTGAACAAAGACAGAACGATGTTTACATTCAGGGAAGGATGGGCTTTTCCAAGGAGGGTTTCGTTTAACGGCGAAGATTGGGTGTTGCCACAACCGGATGACTACCCAGGACTCCCAGATTCTGGGATACTACTTGGGGCACCCACAAATCTTTGGGTGCTGGTTCTTGTTGTTTCTACTTGTTACTTGTACTACTGCATAGGAATCATACCTTTCTTCTAGCTTTTATAAATTTGTTCAGGTTCTTGATTCATTTCTAGTTATGTAAATTGTTACTATGATGTAGATGAAATGTGGGTGTTTGGTAGAGCTTCTTTGGGAGTCTATAGTTTATTTAAGCTCCAAATAAGGTATCACTTCTTCTTTTGGTATTTTCTGATGACAATGGGTGATATCGATATGGGGGTTTTGATATCTCTCTAGCAATAACAACCAAATGAAATCTCTAAAAATGCTTTTATTTCAAGATTCAAAATTGCTGTGCTTTTATTTCAAGATATCTCTCTAGCAAAAACAACCACATATCACAAAGTGATCTTTAGGTGAACCATAAAATTTCCAGACATTAAATCTAAGCAAAATGCAAATCTTCGCATTGAACCGGGCAAAAAGAAGGGGAAAAAAGGGCATTAAATTAATCATCATCAAACACTCCTTCAAGAGCTTTGTGAACCACAAAGGTCATAGAGAAATACAAAGTGTTTTTTGCAATCATAACTTCGAACTTACACAAGTGGAAGAAAAACATGACAGAAGAAGAAGAAGAAGAACAAATGCTCGAAACAATCACCCCAGGCCAGCAATTGCCAGAAAACAGTATATTTTCTGGCACACCAATCACCAGCCAGGTGCACATTAAACATCTCAAAGGGGAAAAATGAAAGAAAGAAAGAACGAAAGAAAGAAATAAGCTTAAATAATGACGCGACACTCTGATTATAGTTTCAGGCCATACTGGCTGAAGGAAAAGTCAGCAGATTATGATAAAAGCGGCAATTTTGGCTCAATGAATGGAATGGAAGTCAGGTTTGGAGTTGGCCAGAGATGGGTGGTTCGTGATCAGAGGAAGCGGCTTCCTTGT